ATATATACAGTAACAGACTTTCTGAGACTATGTTACTGCCACTAAGAAGGATGAAGAACTTCGCAGGGAAGCGTGCATACCGCCATATAAATCAATCTCAGAATACCCATAACACATCCAGTAATGAGATTTTTCCACAGTTTTCCGAACCATTTCGGGTTGTTTCTCTCCTGGGATCCCACTGATGCACAGAGAAGATGGAAAACAAATGCAACCTGTGGCTATTTGGTGAGTTTCTGGTGATGAGGGTGGGTTTGGGAAGGACATTAGTGACTTGGGTGTAAAATATTGTTACTATTCTTCTTCGGCTGTACATCGATATTGATGATGACTATTATTGTGATTAAAGACAAGCAAAAACGTTTATGGGCTTCACGATATGTTTTGGATCTATAATATCTGCCACATTTTACGCGTGGGAAATCTGATTGTGATGGTCTTCCGTGTCTGGTGTTCTGAGAGTTCGGGGTACATTTCTTTCCTTGTCCGTTATTGTTACGATGTTGTCACAATAGAAACTTCAAAAAAGGAAGAGGGGGAAGAAGGAAAACTCGACCAAATTTATGAGAGCTCACAGACCACCTATTTAAACCAATGTGAACGTTGTTTTGTATCTCAACAGTATATCCCTCTTCAAAGTTGAGATCATTAAGGGGGCCGGGTGCTTAGACTCTTGTCTTCCCAAGGCCAATCCGGACTCATGCGATAGTGCTTCCTGGAAGAAAAAAACTTGAATTAATTTATTTCACAAAAAGGAGCCATGAAATTAAGGTCTTGTCGTTTACTTGGGATGTAGAGAGCCTGGTCGCCCTACCTCAGACGCTGCCACCAGAGGAATCTCACTTGAGGTACAAACGTACTGTACCAAAATTCCTACTGCGATGCTTACTTTCGATTGCACATTCATCACTTCTATTTTTCCTTTTATCTCTTGTCTTTTTTCTGCCCATGACCAATACTAACAGCAGCTATGATTACCCACCCTCAGAATACCCGTCTCCCAAAACAATTTGTTACAGTATTGAACACGCTTCAAATTATGGTTGACAGTCTAGTTGAGTCTTTTATTTGGTTCGAGTGAGTTGGTGGAAGGGAGAGCGGAAGTGGCAGGGAGTTATTGCGTTCTTGGATTCTGCCCCAGACATAAATGGTTATTGCCATTACTTTAGCAAGTTGCAAATTGCAAGTATGACGGACAGGATACTAAAAAGTTTTCTTGTTGAGTATTACGGTAGAGACTTGCAAATTGCAAGTCCGGAAGTGTAAGGAAAGCAACAAAAAAAAAATACAGT